CGATCAGACCGATTGAACCATCACCCAAAAAAGAAAACAACCTAGTTCAACCATTTGGCTCACTTTGACCTAGGTAGTTCTTAAAGACTCAAAGCAAAAACCCGAGACCCAAAGCAATTAAATCATTTTGACCCGTTTTTTAATATATATGTATATATATGTATATAAAGATTATTTTTTATTTAATTATTATATCACCACTTCAATCACCAATCTAACCGGTTGAACCATGAGACCTATGACCCACTAATCTTTCTAGTCCATTATCCAGTCCGGTTTTTAAAACATTGGTTTAAATCTTGCTTTAATGGCTTCAATATAATCATCCCAAAGAATTTGTTCCCTATTCCAAACTACTCAACCAAGGGAGGCACCAGTGAAGAGTGGAACTATATAACTTTGAGTCCGATTAAGAGAGGTAGAGGAAGGCCTAAGAGAACACTCTTGGAAGTTGTTGAACGTGATCTCTTAATTAATAATTCTTTTAAAAGCTTAATAAATGATAGAGCACAATGGCGTCTTGCAATCCATGTAGCCGACCCCACCTAGTGGGATAAAGGCTTGTTGTTGTTGTTGTTGTTGTTATTCCATAACTACTCAAACGATTGGTGCAACTAGAATGCCTTTTCATCCAAATGAATGCTAGCCATAGTGACCTATACATCTGTGTCTCATCTAATTGGAAATACCGCTCACACTGAGAAGCCATCCAAAATATCATCCCTCTAAAATCTTGGAAACCCCTGTGAATCACATTGGTCTATTCTAGGTCAATGGTTGCCACTCCACCATTGGATGTTGACCCACAATTGTTATGGGGCTCATCAAAGCTCCTAACAAGTTGGGCCATCTATGCTGTGAGTGATTGAATTTGATTTTCCAAGGTACAAAATCTATCATCATTTTGATCGGTCATCTTTCTCGGTGTAGCTTGCCAGCGTGCGTTTTTGGCAAACAAAGGTAGGAAACCAAGCTCTAAATACCAATCATAAAGAAAAGTAGGGAAGAGGCATAAAGAAGGAAAACAAAGGTGAGAAAGAGAAGGGAGAGAGGTAGGTAGAAGAGAAAGAAAGAAATAGAGAATAGAGAGTGAACGATATTTTTCTGATTTCAAATTAAGTATAGCATCTTACAAACACTCAGGATCCCTTAGATAGGCTACTTTATCATTTATTCTAGCAAAACCTAACTACTAACTCCTTAACTAACAAAACTGCTTATTCTTTATTTATTTATTCTTTACATATCACACAATTGCCAACCTGCCATGGATGAGCTTCACACCAAAATGGACTTTGTCTTCCTGCCTATCAATGGCACCCTCAGTATTGGAGGGTGCCATTTTAGAGCCTTAATGCGAGTAGGTTCAGATAAATGCCCTTAATCCACTCCAACCATATGAACCAGTAAACCCTATCTGCCAAACTATTGCTAAATTTTATTCTCTATCTTGGCAAAACCTTTGAAATAAATAATATGAAACTGCTCCAATGTAAATAACTGGCCTGATTTTCACCCAAAATGCCAAAAACATGCTCCAAAGATACATCAGTGCTGGAGAAGTCAATAATGTATTACTCCCTCGAGTCCTATTTGTAGGACACCTTCTAGAAATCATTTTTGGTCCAAAATGTAGGACACTTTGCTATAATTAAACTACTTTTTCCAAGTCTCCCTTAAAGGTTTTAATGTAGCTGTATCATTATTTAAAGCCAGGAATAAAAATAAAATTACACATCATTTTTAATGATATCAAGAAAAAAATAGCTTTTCTTAAAATGTGTGTGATAAGACCCCATCTTCTGTCACTATGAAAACTCACAAAGGGAGATATAAAAAGAATGGCAAAGGGCAGAAAAGATGGAACTATGGGTTTAGGAGAAAATCCTATGGGTAAAGACCAGCTGACACATCAAAGTAGGGGAGTAAAGCTAGTGTTTTGGTAGGGGCAATCTACTTTTTGGCTTTTTAAATCTATATGTTTGTGTAGAAGGAAAGTTGGAGTATTTGAAAATTGGAGTGGTGTAGAGAGTTCTGGCCTATCAAACGCCAGATTGGGGTGGAGGAAGTTCATCTTCTTTCATCATTTGTTCATGTGTAGCTTAGGTTTGTGTTGCTGTACTGGCTGTATGTTGTGTTGTTAATTGTATTTTTGTGTTGTTTCATGTACTGTGTAATTTCAGCTCCTTATTCTTCTTGCAATTCAACTTCATTAGTCTGTTTAATCCCATTTGTGGTGTATTTTCTGTATTTTCGTTGGTTTTAAGTTTATTAGGATAGAGGGTTCCAACAGTGTGAAACAGTTAAAAGTGTCTTATAATAAGGACTGGAGGGAGCATATAGCATAGTGAAGTCAATAATGTAACATATTCATAAAACTACTTTACAGAATTTCCAACATCCCCCAGAAAACTAGATACAATTACTACCTTCACATAGAGAGAGACTCAAGATTGGTACTCACAGTAGCTTCTGGATTGTGAATCAACACACAAAGAGCATCTACTAATTCCCCAAGATTATGAGGAGGGATATTGGTCGCCATGCCAACCTGATTAAGATTAAAAAGAGCCGTTATATTTGTAAAGATAAAATTCATATAATAAGCATCAGCAGCTGTTTCAAGCATGCAAAAGGAACCCAAAATTACCGCAATCCCTGAAGAACCATTCAACAGCAAGGTTGGGAGCCGAGCAGGTAGAAGGGAAGGTTCTTTCTGTGAATTATCAAATTTGGAACAAAATCAACCTGCAAGAAGGTTTAAAAAACAAACATAAAATGTACTTCAGTTATTAATGGCACCCCATAATAACCAAATATCATTAGGTACAATGAGCATCAGTATTAACAGACCGTATCTTGCTGTAAATCTGCCAACAGCATTGCTTCAGTGAGTGCCTGAAGATTCAAGCCAAGACATAAAATTATCCCACAAAATGTTGGTGAACACATGAAATTAAGACACTTGAATTGGCTGACAGTTGGAGTAATCTAGATTAGTAGTGGAAAATAATTATCCCTAGATACTATAGAACATAGATTAAGCGTTATTACATTTGAAAACTCCATCCCATAGACTCCATAACGTGATTAAATCTATAATGACTTCTATTTAGTTTAATGTTTTAAGAAATAAAATTAAACTAAAACCAAACTGTCAAATGGATTGCCAACATGAAAACACAAAGTTGCAAAGCCATGACTAATGATTATCCACACACCCACTTCATTACAACCCATAATAAAGGAAAAAACCCATTTAAACATGATTATTCACGCACCACTCCATTAGAACACAGATTAAGTATCACTATATTTGAAACTCCATCCCACAGCCTCTGTAACATGATTACATATATAACGACTTCTATCCAGTTTAATGGTTTTAAAAATACAATTAAACTGGAAACAAACTGTCAAATGGATTGCCAAACATGTAAACACAGTTGTGGCACCATGCCTCATGATTATTCACACACCCACTCCATTACAGCCCATAATAAAGGAAAGCACATTTAAACAAGACAACTTCAACAAAAATCACTATTGCCACCAAGGAGCTTATATAAGACATTAATTAATAAGTGACCCATTCCAAGTTTAAGCATTACAATTGCTGAGCAAAAAGCAACAAAACTCCGGAACTGAATCATACTTCATATATGGTATTGGCAATTCTGGTCATATGCAACACACTTTTGTGTTTAAGGAGTGAGAATTAATAGTTTGTGGAATGCACTTCAAACCATTTTTTACAGCCAAAAACATGAAACAACAGTCTGACTTCTCCATCACATTCTCAACAAATTAAGCAAGCTTCAATACTTATAGTTTGAATCTCCACCCATCATTACAGCATAAAACCCATTCCTCATATCCCTCAGGATACAATTTTCAACTACATGATTTACCAACTTCATTTTTCCTTATCAAATTGGTAATAACATTATTTAAAAAAAGATAAATACAAAACTTCATGAATACAACCATGATTTGAGCATGGTAATTCACAGAACAAATGCCTATTGATTGCATCACAAAGGGGGAATTTGACATGACATAAATTCCTATCCATAAATAAGACAAACAAACAGTTCAAGATGCCACAGTCTCACAAATTAGTCCTTGTTCAAAAAGATAAAGCACACAATATGAGCCAAATACTTAATTTTAAAGAACAATTTAGTTGTTCAAAACATACTTCCAATCTACACTCTGTGTAACGCATGGCAGCTGGAGGGTCCGCATCAATTGATCCAAAGTTCCCATGCCCTTGGATTAGTGGACAACGTAAGGAGAAATCCTGAAAGAAATTGAAGACATAAGGCCTAAACAGATGAGATAAATAATGTGAGAAACTAAAAGAGCATCAAAAGAAAACATCATCTACCACCAAATGGCACGTCACATTTCAGAGAAGTAACAGTTACCAAAAAGAAGGGGGGAAATGGAAATATTAGGTTAACATACATATAGATCCTTCTCAAGAACCAAAATAATAATAGCAAATACAACTCTCAACAGAAAGAGAAAAAATGATGCAAAGTACATAGTTACAGAAATTTGGTGCATTTTTCTAGGAAGGAATGGCAGCCTTCACATTCAATAAAAGTATCATACACCATAATTATTAGAGAACATGATAGGATAGTTTATTTAATGACTTGACATGAAATTGCAAGAGAAATTCTGTTAATAAATAGTAAGGTACTCAAGGCTTTATTAGCATCAAGATTTGTCCTTTCGTCACTATTTTCCCTTTTGAAGTCTGACTTAATCTCTGCCTGATTACCTTCCTAAAGGCTTTGTTAACTAATTCTTAGTCGATCAAAAGGAAGATGGAAGCAGAATTATTTTTCAACATATTTAATAAATAGATGAAAGATAGCCAAATGTAATATGATAGTCATTCAGTAAAGAAAAGAGGTAATCTATTTGATGTCACAGGGCATTTGATTGTGTCACCTTTCCATTAAACAATAAATAAGACATTCAATATCTATTATATTTCTATCATTATTTCTTTATGGTGATTTTATTTTATTACAATTATTTTATTTAGAAGCATAAAAGACATTTATCATCCACAAAATCACTTTTTCTATTTCATTTTCATTATTTTGCATACCAAACACTAGTCAGAGATAGGTAATCATTGACGAGCAATATTTCTACTAGTTTATCATTATTAGGACAAATAGTGGATAACAGAATTATTTTACCTGGGCCATTCTTACTAAAGAATCATACACAGCAGAGTCTCCATGAGGATGAAACTTCCCCAAAACCTATAGAAGCAGCAGCACAAAAAATGAAAGATGTCCATATGCACAGAACACTCTTGGAAGTTGTTGAACGTGATCTCTTAATTAATAATATTTCTAAAAGCTTAATAAATGATAGAGCACAATGGCGTCTTGCAATCCATGTAGCCGACCCCACCTAGTGGGATAAAGGCTTGTTGTTGTTGTTGTTGTTGTTGTTGTCCATATGCACAGAAATGATCCACATATATTTGTAGAATGCAGACGCATGTTCTAAGTGCTCTCTTAGAACAAGAATTGAATATGTATTGCTAGAAAATTAACCTCTCCAACAACTCTTGCACATTTCTTGAAGGGTTTACGTGATGAAAGGCCAAGCTCATGCATTGCAAATCTGTATAAAAGAACATTAAGAGAAGACCAATAAATTATTAGGTTGTTTTGCAAGTATTCTAAACAAAAAATTTCAAATTTCAACTGCTCTAAAATTAAAGTTAATAAGCCATTAGACAAATGTTTGTTGTGTTTTTCCAAATCACAACACAGAAAACTACAGGTGACATCACGGTAAACTTCATATGATGAATACAATAAGAAAGAGTATATAGTTTACGCAATTTGCAATAATACATTGCTACAATTCATGAACCAATAGCAGTAATGATTCTTATGAATTACATATAATTACGCCTCAAGGACCCTGCCCAAACTAATAACAAACTGAATTATAGGATTATGCTAATATCTTCACAACCTGCAAAATCATTGCGATCAAGAATAAGCGTACATTCCTATAGAAAAAGTATCACAACCAATTTCTAACGCGCCATGCAGAAGTTGAAAAGCATATATTACATAAATGGAAGCACAATCACGAACAAGCATACCACACGACGTTTGAAGGAAAAATTCTTCAATTGACCAAATTAAATTTACTTTCTTTTTACGCAGTTAGAACAGAAAGTTTGTCACTATTACCAACCACAAAGCGTTTTAAAGTAGAAAGGTCATGAAGATATTCCTTGCCTTCGGACAATATAACATCATTGCTTTCCCCAAAAAAAAATTCCAAAAACACTACTCACAGAATTCTTCTGTGCACCGGCTTCAACCCGTCACGAACATCAGGCAATGCGCGACCGAGCAACACAGACATGGCATAAGCCATATAAGCTTCAGTTGCCTCCTTGTGAAGTTCCGAAGGCAAAACCCTTCCATCGTTTTCACTTCTATCCTTCACCGTAACTCCCCCATTCTCCTCTCTTCCCGCGTGCACCGGCCCATCCCGGCGTTGGGCACTGACAGGCCGGGGCTTGTCGGGAGTACTTGCAGAGAGAAAGCGGTTCCCTGAGAAGCTCTGCTGGAGCCTAGACAAGCGAATCGGAGCAAGGGGCGGAGATAGACGATACCTGAGAATTGATGAGACTCTCAGCGCAGAGGCAAAAGCCATCGAAGAAGGAGAAAGAAGCTCCGTGTGGTTTTGAATCGGCGAGGGTTTCATAGGTTAGCCATTTTAGAGATGACAGTGAGAGAGCGAGCGAGCGTGTGCAGTGGATGAGAAGTGGAGTAGAGTTGCAGGGTTTAGGGCTTTTAGCTGTGTTATAGTATTTGCTGATAGCTGAGAGACTGACTGAAAATGAACGTTGGTTTTGGCGGGCCGCTTTATTTCATGTTTATTGAAATTAGAGAAAATGACAATTAAGGATTTTGTAAAAATATTAACATTAATATTAAATAAATAACTCAAAATATTGAAATATTACAAGAAAACATAGTTGTCATTTGCAATTAAATATTTCTAATTATTGAAATAATTTTTTTTCCTTTGTACCAGAGATTCTGGATGGCATTTGGTAGGTCTAGTCAATAATGGTTACTTATATTTGTAGCAAATTACCAAAATGTATTATTTAATTAGTTAATTTGAGATACTTAATATACCTTATTTAGATTATTACAAAATTCAAGAAAATATTTGTTAGTTACACAGGTTATAAAATTAAGATATAACAAAAACAACTAAAAGAGCAAAAGATCAAATGAACAAGGGAAGATTTAGAGCAAAACAGGTTTAATCTTTCCATTTTTCTAGCTTGATGTTAAAAATCACTTCCAAGAGCTTGCACTAGCATGTCTTGGTAGAATTCTGATTAGAGACAAGTCATAGGCCATACATCAGGGTTTTAACTTTAAAAATATCTTACAAAGCATTTTATAGTGTTTCATGTTAATTCTTGCAAGAACTAGTCAATCATGTGCGATCTAAATGAAATGCCTAGGAGCACATGTTTGCGTGTTAAACCCATTCTTGCAATAAGTAGACATGTCGCCCACAAGAGCTAGACTTCTAGAATGGAATTCCATTATGTCTACTCATTCATACAAAAATTCAATTCGATTCAAGCAGCAATTATAATTTCAAAATGGAGATTGGTTCTATCCACTATATCACACAAGAATCAGAGGTGATTATCGTGAGAAAAACGACAACAGGGAACCATGTTTCTAGACTTATATTTCTTGTAAGAAATAGATGTCATGCTCATGAGAATCAAAGTTTCAGTAGGTACTTGAGTTGTGCTCAAACTAATTCTTGCAAGAGCTAATTGATTCATGTGATAAGTAGTCTACCTTTCAAAAAAAGTCAAGTATGCATTAAAGAGCTGGAAATACTTGAACACTTCATGAAAAATCTTGTAAGTCTTGTGTTAACCAATTCTCACAAGAATTGGATCCTGGCCTCGTGAGAACTGACCAACAAAAAAGTTTTTCACCTCTAATGTCTAATTCACACAAGAACCAAAGTGAGACATTGCATAAACTATAATACCCTAAAATTTATACCAATTTTTTCCTAATTATATAATTTCATTGTGAACTTTATTCATTAAATATATATTCTACCATAATAATGAAGAGTAAAACTTATTTTTTAAAATACTATCAAAATATTTACCATAATAGAAAATATTTTAGATAATATTTTGAAACTCTACCACGGCAAAAAATGGGCTACCATGATAACTAAAAGTTAAAATCATTTTTATAAAAAGTATATAATGATGAAAAGAGCTTTTCTTACAAATAAAATATTTTTCAAATTAGACTACCATGATAAAAAATGATCTACTATGGTAGAAAAAGATTAAACATAATAAAATAGACCAACCATGGTAATTAAAAAGTAAATAACTCAAGTAAATAATTACCAATGGTAAACTAAGTTAATTAAGGTGTACCTCATAGGATCCCATTGAAAACAAATATTTAAATATAATAAAATGATATAAAAGGTAATTAGAAGTAAAGCATGATTCTTGGGGGATAAATTATCTAAAAATAAGTTTATTAAGAATAAAAGGGCCTAAAGGGACCATTTCATAAGTTAAAAACTTAACAAGGGCAATTTAAAAAAAAATTACATCATGTGCCATGTATGACACAAAAAGAAAAATTCATCCTCTATGACATTCCAAGCTAATTGCCATTCATTGGGTCTAATGAAGGCATGCCACATGGTAAATATATCTTCGAACAAAATCCCTAACAACAACAGTTCAAAACCTGACAAGCTATGCATATTTCAAATATATTCGAACAATTTCATGCTTTCGAACACATTATTCATGCCAAACATAGTATATATAAATATACACAGCAACCCACTTGACAATTTATTTTCTAAATACTAAAAACATGTTTTTTCAAACACAATTTACTTTAAACACAATAAGAACAAACATAATCAATTACAAAACATATAAAAACACAAGTTAATAATTATTACTTTTGCCCCTAGTTAATAGAGCTCCCCAAACAAGTGAACTATCACCTCTAATAGTGTTAATATCACAATCCAAACAACATGAAACTAATTATTGCTATTACAATGCTAATCATAGCTAATCAAAGTATTTACACACTAATTGCATTATAATGTTAGGGTTGGGTTAATTAATCTAATTAAGCCAAAACTTCTACACTCATCTAAGCCCTTAAACATACTCATAATCATCATCATTATACTAATTAATCCATGAAATGCCCTCTACAACCTTAAATCAACATCAAAAATCACCTAATAACTCTTGGGTTTTGGATTTCAACACTTCATTACCATAATCATCATTGAAATTAACCAAATAACACTTATTTAACCTCATATAAGCTTGAAAATTCGAACCCATAGGATAGGCAACATAAAAACACAAACCCTAACCTTACTCACTTAGAACATTAGCTTGAACAGTGATTAGTGCATGATAACTGAGTTAAGAGAGAATTATTGATCATCTAAAATGTATTATTTGATAATAATATGTAACACATTGACAATAAGTCTATAAGTACTTAATGATCTATAAACAACTCTAATAACATTCTATTAACCAATATTGGGCCAAGGCCCATTATATGCTAATGCTTCCCTTACAAATCGAAAAATAAAACATATCACTTTAAGCCAACACTAAATGACAATATCACTTTTGAGCATATAGACTTTCAATGGGAACAACTCATAGATGAGCTCTAAAATCAACAAATAAAGATTGAGGAAGAGCCTTTGTAAGGACATCTACCACCTAATCAGACGTAGGAACATATCCAACATACAACATACCAAAAGCCACTTTTTCTAGAACAAAATTCAAAGCAAGCTCAAAGTGCTTAGATTTCTTATGAAGAACAAGATAAGCTGAGAGAGTAACAATATTGGTGTTATCACACCAAAATAGAAGGTGTTCATGTCACTATAATCTTCATTTCATCAAGAACAGCAAGCAACCAAAGAACATCAAATATAGAATCAATAATACTATAAAATTCAGCTTTAATAGTAGATCTAGAAACCACAGGTTGCTTTCATGAAGTCCACATGATCGGACTAAAGCCTAAATAAGTGCAGTAGCCACTAGTAGAGCAACAATCTTCCTTAGAAGAATCCTAATTAGCATTAGCATAAGCTTGAACTGTAAATTAAGAAATAGGCTAAAGTAATATACCATAGTTGGTAGTGCTATTAAGATAACACAAAACACGTTGACCCCTTCCTAATGAATAGTAAAGGGTTGATGCATGTACTAAGCAAGCTTGATAATTGTATAAGCAATATCCAACCTAGTGAGACAAATAAACTGTAAAGCACCAACAATCTAACGATATACTATAGGATCAGGATGAAGAGTCCCTTCAATAGTAGTAAGACAAGTACTAGCAGCCATAAGTATAGGTTTATCATTGGACAAAATCATATTAGTCTTATGAGCAACTCTATAACATATTTCTTTTGAGATAAATGCATGCCCACATCAGTATAAACAAATTCAATGCCTAAGAAAAAGGATGAATCACCAAGAACTTTGAGAGAAAAATAGAACCCATTTAAGAAATCACTTCATAGACTTCAGCATCATCACTACCCATGAGAATAAGATCATCTACATAGACAATTAAATAAAGAGATGACTTGTCATAAAGTCTAAGAAACAAGCAAATATCAAACTTAGCCTGAGTAAAACTAAGATTTCCCATTGTATCAAAAATCTTTTGAAACCAAGCTTGAGGACCTTGTTTAAACCCATAAATGACTTTTTTTAACATGCAGACCAAAATAGGATTAGAAAAATCAGGATTCAATTCTTCAAAACTAGGAGGTTGTTGCATGAAAATCTCTTTTGTCAGATCACCATTTAAAAATGCATTATTAAAATCTATTTGATGTAGCTTCCATTCTTTAAAGGCAACCATTATAATAAGAATGCATATAGTAGTAGGTTTTACTATAGGACTGAAAGTGTCTATGGAATTAGTTCCAACTTCTTGAGAAAAACATTTAGCTACTAAAGGTCCTTTCCTTTTAGCAGGAGACCTATCAATATGAGCCTTAAGTTTGAAGATCCACTTACAACCCACAACTTTACAATTGAAGGGAAGTAGGTCAAGTTTATAAGTATCAAAATTCACTAGGGCAGTGTATACATCTTCTATATCAATGCACCATTCAAGATTAGCCAATGCTTTAAAGATAGTAGAAGGACAAAAAGGGACAAAGGTAGCGCGTTAAACTTTTGGTTTAAAAATTCCATCTTTGGAACAAGTAGTCATAGGATGATTATTTAAGGAAAGTTGGGGAAAAGAAGGAGGATCAAGGGGTACATCATCAGAAATGGTTGTAGTGGTAGGTGGAATAAGTAAAGAAATGGTTGTAGAAGGTAAGATAGAGGGAGATGGAGTAGATGAAGGCACTTTATTAGATGAAAGGGAAGACAAGGTGTTAGATGAGAAGGAAGAGAAGTACAAAGCATGAATAGTCTAGTGAGAGGTAGAAGAAACACATATCTAGAAAAATATAACTTCCTTACAGAAGGATCAAGACATTTATAACCATAATCCTGAGTACTATAGCCTAAGAAAATGCAGGGAGATGATTGAAAATTCATCTTATGTTTGTTATAAGGGCACAATCAAGGATAGCACAAACAACCAAAAACTTATAGAATGGAGTAATTTGGAAAAGTAGTAAAGAGTTTATAATGAGGAGTTACCCCTTCAAGTGCCTTGGTAAATAAGCAATTCATCAAAATTAGTTCGAGGCTTGAGCAAGTAATGTGAGCCCAGTTTC